AATTTAGCAACAAGAATAATAGATTCCTAGCTTTTGCAAACATTTTATTTTGTTCACTTTGGGAGAATTCTTAAAATTGGTAGTAAAACAATTTGGTGTTTACATCAGCTTAAATGTGGGACTTCTGTTGGAGACATCTGGGAAGTGGAAGAAAATACTTCAACTATTTGCACAGGTAAATAAATTCTAGATCTTGTGCCTTCCAAGATGATAACTTCATACTTAGGACCCATAACTTTCCATTAGCTGAATACTGCATAAAAAATGTAATGTGTTTGATTAAATGTGGGACTTCTGTTGGAGACACCTGGGAAGTGGAAGAAAATACTTCAACTATTTGCACAGGTAATTAAGTTTTAGATCTTGAGCCTTCCAAGATGATAACTTCATACTTAGGACCCATAACTTTCCATTAGCTGAATACTTCATAAAAAATGTGATGTATTTGATTCTCATCAAGATTTCTGCAGCAAAAATTGAAATGTAGGAGTTTTAGATATATTTTTTAATTTCTATTGTGTTGGGCTTGGGCAGTTCATTTTATGTTGGTCTTCTTTCAATCACATATGTCTGTGTATCTATCTCACTTAACACTGGTGTTTCTGGGTAACCTATTAAGATTCGGCTGGTTGTCTAATTTAGTAATGTAAATAATCTGTCATAAACACTATGGTTCTTTTTGGTTGTGTGGAGTGTGCCTCCTTTTTTAGCCTAAAAACATTTTTTTTTAAGTTCATCTTTGAATTGATCATTTGTAAAACTGCTAGAACTCTTTTTCCCGAGTTTTATGTGTGTATGGTGATAACTCTACTGTGAGGGTCACCAAATTGGACAGAGAGCACAAGGGTTTCTGAGAGATCTGAGAATTTGATTCAAGTATGCAGAGAATCATTTAAACTGTCTTAGGAAGAAGTACGCCTTCCTTTAAGAGTAAGGTACTAACGTGAGGAAAATGCCAAAACTTCCAAGTTGTTTAGCATGTGCCAATACATATGTCTGGATGGGACAAAAGTGATGGGTTGAGAGTTAAGAAAACCAAGCTATTTAGGTAAAGTTATGTGGTAGATAACATTCTCTAACAGAAGGTGCAATAGATGTATATAAAGTTTGCTAATTGATTTGTCTTGACTGCCGTTGATATTTTGTCTTCTTACCTGTTTGATCATATATGTTAGACTTCTATATGTCAAAGTTGGTTGCTTATCATTATTTTGGTTTATGCAGGGGTGTCCCTTAGTGGAAATGCTGAACTGGATGTTGCAAACCATCAAGAACCTCTTGATACTAAACCAGGCTCCTTGCGAATATTGTCAATATCTTCTGATTATTGGAATGAGTACCTAAAACTTGAGGATGAAATTGAACAGGTTCTCCATGAACTGAAAAGGTCACAGGAGTTGGAATATAAAACTGCAGAGGAAACTCTTTTTTCTCAGAAGAATTATATTCGCAATCTTTATCAGCAACTTGATGAGGAGAGGTCTGAATTGTCACGTCGGACATCAGGAGCTGGAGCAGATGCCTTATTGAATGCTGTCTTGAAGAGAGTAGATCAGATAAAGCAGGAAGTCTTTAAACTCAAGGAAATGGAAAAAGTTGCCGGTGGATTCGGATCTACTCCTAAAGGTATTCTGAAAGAGCACTTTCATTTGTCAATTGAGGAATAAACCTATGCATATCTAGTAGTTGAATGTATCAGATGCACACCAAATTTTGCCATTAAACTGTAACATTGTTTGAATTGATTACCTGTACATTTGTGGGCATACCTCTTGCATAACCCTAAGCATGAAAGATATGCCTTATGCTAATGGGGAATGAAGACTTGAAGATTGAGATTGACTCATTCATCAGCCAATATGTAGAATTTTATGCACTGAATTGTAGATGCACTGCCGGAAGGGACTGAGGAATATGAATTTAGAAATTCAGAATGGAACTGAAAGCCTATAGAAGCTGTGATGGCATTGGTTTGTTTCTCTATATGTATAGATACCCTGTGCTATGTTCTTTTATGGAAAAAGTTACATTGTCTGCAAAGGATGCTGGTATTTGGGAGAACAATGCTGCTCTGTTGCTCGGTGGATTTCACAGCTATGCTTTAGAAGTGCAACCTACCCAGCCAGTGTTTGTTTTGGAGTGCCCTAAGTCTAACCATTTTAGGTTTTAGATATTTCTAGAGCCCATGAGGGCTTTGGAAATCAATTTTATTTTCTCCATTTTGAGAGATTTTGTGATAATATTGGGTTCCAAGAAAACCCTAAATGTATAATTTTTTCAGTGTTCTAATGTCCATGTCCTTTGTGGTGCTTTACAATATACTATATTTCCAGGCATGGCTTGTGCTTCTGAGATGGGAAATGCCTCATGATAAACCCCCCTTTCCATTCCATTGCTCCCAAAATTAAATGGACAAACCCCTTTTAAGACTGACGAGGCAGACTTGTATGATTACATGGGATGGATTGTTTTGTTAGTGATAATATACCATCCTGCAAATCCCTTCCCCAATGTCTATAAGTAAATTCTCCAGGGTTCACTCTAACTGTCATATAAGTCTTCAAGACGAGTGAACCTCTAAGTAGGGCTGTTAAAGAGTAGAGTAGTTTGTAAGTAATTTGTGAGTTACTCAAGTTGAGCTCTAAGTAGGGCTTTAGTATTTCGATAAAAAAATGAATTTGAGCTCGAACTTTTTCATAATTACTTGTGAGCTATTGTAAGGACTCTGTTTACATCATTAATTGCATTTAATAGGTAAGATGAGGTCACATCCCAGATTTATTGGTTGAGATTCAAATTACTCACAACAATGATGATTATTTGTTAGTTACAGTTTTTTTTTTTTTTTTTTTGAACATACATGAGAATGTTAGTTACAGTTTAAATTCAAAAGAAATAAAAATTCCTATAATTTAGGGGGAAGTGCAATTGAGGGGTTAAGGTAGCAGTAGAATTGTATAGGTGGCAAAATCTAATGCAGCCTTGACTTGGTCTTGCTGATGTGCCCATTATTTTTTTTTTCTAAAAAATTATCCGTGATCCAATGAGTGAAATGAGAGTATAATTTGCACGAAGCGTATAAAAAGAAAATTTCAAATTATTTATGAAATTAGAGGATAGTTTGCAAAAAGTGTATAAAAAGAAAGTTTTAAATTATTAAAGACATGACGACTAGTCCTACTCACAATCTAGAACAAGTTTTATCATTTTAAGAGTTTTGCTTTAGCTTATAAATTTCATTTTCAGCATATTACTTTGTAGACTTTAGATTATCTCCAATATTAAAATAGTCAAATTAGTTCTTGTATTCACTTCTACAACTGTATCTTATGTAATGGATAGTGAGTATTTTAATTTTTGCAAAATACTGTTTTTTTTCTGATAATTGTTTATTTTAAGTTTTTGGTAAGTAGTGTTTTTCATAATCTGATTACCTATATAGTGTTAATGCTTCTTTCTTGTTTTGTTTTTTGTGTTAGTATCTTTGGTTAATTAATTTTAAATTTCTAGTTCTAAGGTAGGTTGATTTGTAAATCTGTTAATAAACATAAGTTAATTTGGTCCTAAACATATTAGTTTTAATCAAAATGCATTCATCTTTTACCTGTTCATTTTAATTTGCATTTCATTTAAAACATTTATGATTTATTAATTTAAAATTTAAAGTGTTGATAAAGTTCTTGAAATTGTTCAAAATGGATTACTAACCCATTATATAGGAAATCATCCTTCCCTTTTACAAATTGTCTGAGATGTAGAATTAAATTTGAATTACCATTTTTTCAGTCGTCCTAAAAAAGGTCAACCATCTAGAAGAACAATTTCGTTGAAAAAATCTTTTTTTTTTCCTTATATTTTAGTGCGAAATCACTTTAAAATTTTTGAGAAAACAGACTTAATTTAAAATTAAAAATTATATTATATATTTATTTATTAAATTTAAATATGTAGTAATTTAAAAAAAGTAACTTAAATAACTTATATATTTTGAATTACAACTACCAGTAAAAATGTTCAAATAGAATTTATGTTATTTTTCTTATAAACTTAATTTGTTTACATTTTTAGTATTACACTATTTTTGAAAAATATAAGAAAATTTTTGGTTAAATAATTAATTATTAAAATATTTTAAAATTACAAGAAAACATACTTGAATTTAAGTTAAAGTATTCACTATTCGAACTCACAAGTAAACTCAAACTCACTTGAACTCTGACGACTTTGAACATGAGATCAACTATTTTTAGAACTCGACAAATTCTTGAGTTCGACTCGAATTTAAATTTTTAAAGTGAGGTTGAGCACGAATACCTAAATATTTGATTTGTTGACAGCCCTAACAGGAGTACCTACATAAATAGTCAACTCTCATTCTTGCCTCTCAGCATACGTGAGAAAATCCTTCTGCATGGCAGCAACAGTTAAGCCTGACCCAAGATGTCTCTGTCACTTTGGTAAATCATCAAGCATGTAGCAGAAAGTAAACCCATTACATGTAGGCTGCTACTCCCTCAGTCCCTAATTATGGGATTCCACTGAATTGACTTGGTTTAAGAAGATTTGGAATATTACAACCTTTTGACTCTGCATTTTTGACATCAGAATTTCAAAATTTTCCACTAAATTAAAAGTTCATGGCCTTGGACATAAAAAAGTGAAACATGTCATTCGTCTTAGGACGAGTATATGATATTGTACTCAAAACTTCAATCCACGCCTGAAATATGTAGACCAGAACGGCTTGTTTTGAATCAATTTCATATCAGAAAGTAGCAAGAAAAGAAGATACACGTAGTTAAACAGAGATAAGAAAGAAAAGGATTCCTACCCCCACCACCACCTCTCGGCTCTCACCACTTATCTCCCAACTCATCCCAACCCCACCTTTAGTGAGAGAGATTCATCGCACAATGAGAACTGAAAAGCCTAAGATAAGTAATTTATCATTGAGTAGAAAGAGGTTGGCAAGCTACAAGACATAATTTAGATTACTAAAATCAAAAGGCATATTGAAACACTGGTTCAGGACTTGACAGCTATACATAAATCCACAAGTGGACACCAGAAGCATATATTCTTTACCACCAAGTAAAAACGGAACAAATTCTCAAGTACTGCATTATGCTTCTGCTTTGTCTTATTTCATGGTTGAATGTATCATCAAAGGATGAATATAATATAAAAAGTCGTCGACATATTAAATATTATAAATCTGTAGGACTACGTCAAGAAAGCCACCCAGCAAGGCAATCACTACTGAGGGATGCCAACAAACAAGTAACATTTCCATTGGTTACCAAGAAAATGTGAAAGCAACAGAAATTATTTATGAACCCATTTTCTTATCTTTTTTTCCTTGTTATTCTTGAAAAACAATGGAAGAACAAAATGACCACACATCTCAAAGATGCAAACTCTTCCACTAAAAGAGTGAGACCCTTCTACACCAAAGAAGGGAAGAATACCCTTGTCCAAGTCCATATAACTCTTTTGGTTAAGGATTTGATATCTGTTCTCCTCATTTCTTCAAAAACCAAGCCTATGACCAAAACCCATGTCATAGGCTTGGTTTTTGTGATCCTTCTCCTAGTCTTGACCACAAGAAACAAAACACTAAATGTCTAAAACTCTGTATATTAACTAATCAACTGAAATCAACCCAGCTAAATCCCCAAGAAAGCACATTAAATCATGTCAAAAAATGGTTTATTAGACCAAAATGCTATCATGCCATCATGGAACAGAACATTTCTTGCTTGATTTCAATAACAGAGAAATTAGTACAGAAAATGTAAGCTCTGCAACAACAGTTCTTGCAAGCTAAATTGAAACGACATGCAATTGAAGCAAACCAAGATTATATTATTGTACAAGAACGAGCCTATTATTATTATTATTATCGTTTCCCATACCTCCTCTAAATTCCCCATTACCTTCACCACCACCAACGTCTTCGTAGACAGCATCCTTTGGCACCGTCACAATCAGCTCTCCATCCTCATACACAGCACTGGCAAGCTCCGGCTTTGTTGACTCCGGCAGACGGAAGCGCCACATATCAAACTCCAAATCATCAAGCGAAGTAAAATCAACATGACTGCCAGGGCGAATCAGAATCTTGATGACCCCAGGATGGATTTCCACCGTCTGAGCCCTCACGTCGCTAATACCATCCGTCTCCGCCACAAACTTGAAGCACTCCGGCCTCTCTTCCACCTCCACCTCCGCGTCCGCCCTAAAGGGCAGCACCAGCACCCTGCTGAAGATATGGGGCAGCCTTCGGAGCTTCTTGTGGGACCCACCGGTGAGAAAGGACTGCACTTGGGCCATATTCGTCGATGGGTTCACGTCAAACTGGATGGTGATGTTCCTTTTCATGGGCAACGGATGGATTTTCATGGTTTTGCTTTCTGGGTCTTTCTCCTTGTCGATGTTGCTGCTATCAGGAATCGAATTCTTCGCAAAAGACGAAGAACAAGCACAACAAATGAATTGGGTCAAGATTAAAAACGAGAAAAAAGATGCCTTTCTGAAGGAAAGAGGAGAAATTCGACCTGGAATCCAAATTCTGATTAGGTTGTGGCGTGGAAAATGCGAAATTATAAAGGAATGGATGTCAATCCAATTCCTTTCTTTTTGGGTTTTTTGATGGAGACAGAGAACGAATGAAGCCTTGGGGGGTTACAATAATACTAAAAGAAGAAGATTTGAACGAAAAAGGAAATCAATTTCATGAGGGAATCTCGAAAGAAAACCAAAAATTTATGAACTCTGGTTTGGTTTGTGGGGATGCACAGGGCGCGGAGAAGGGATCGCTTCAGACGGATAAAAGGAGGCTCTGGGTTCACGAAATTACTTTTGTGCCATTTTCTTTCTGTGCCTAACCAAATCGTACGCACGTTAAAATTAATTTATTTTCGAATAATTTTTAACAATAATGCATTTATGTCCATCAGTATTAATATATTGTATTAAAATTTTTTTTATCAACGAATTTAAATAACTTGATTATTCTTTTTTTTATTAAAAGTAAAAAATTTTAAATTCAAATCATATGACATGCGAGTAAGATAAGATAAATGATGAGAAATAATTATATTTTATTATGCAATCAAGATAAAAAAAATTAATTTTTTGACACAATTATATTTACCAATAATAATATTAAGTTTTTTAAAAATTAAAAATATTAATTTTATTTAATTTGATTAATAAAAATAATTAATCATTATAGTTATTAAATACTATATTTTTTTAAAAATAATTATTGTTATTTAATTTTAAATTTGTTTTAAATTAATTGTCATTTTTTGAAATAAATAAATATTTTTTTATTTTAATCTTATGATTATTTATTTATTTTGATAAATTATTTTATCACAAAAAATCTTATTTTATTTAATTTTTTATGAATAATATAAATAAATATATAAATCGTTTTAAATTCTTAATTTGGATAAAAAATTAAAAAATAATAATTATTTTAAATATAAAAAATGTTAATAAATAAAATAATTAATATTTATTAACTAGTAAATTAAAATTAATTAATAAACTAATATTTTTAATTATTATTTAAAAAATCAAAATATTAATAGCACCAATAATATCAATGCTGATGGCAACAGCACACTCATTTCCCATAACGCCGCCCCCTCACTTTTGTGCCATTCCACTTATTCACATTTCCCTTTTTTCTTGTTTGGGTAAATATTAAGAACTTAATATATCGGTTTACATCATGCCCTCCAGATTTTAGATAATTATCAATTATTCGCCCAGCATCTTTTTATTTCAAAATTTACCCAAAATGTTGTGAAATCAACCAATTTTACCCTTGACGACATGTTTTATGCTGGAGAAAAATAAGAATCCATCATGGCACTTATGAGGAACCATGGGGTTCTTAGGGCTAAAAATAATGAAAAATTATAAGAATAAAAAAAATAATACTAAAAGCTTATCTAGCTATGAAGGAAGCCCCAAAACTGTGCTTCTTCATGTTGGCACTGCCAAGAATATGAAAGCCTACATCGAAGGCTTCCATGCCAGGGGAAGTTATGATTAGGAGCTCTCCTCTTAATAGAGTTGTGCTCCAAGCCTCAATTGAGACTCTTATATATTTTATTTTGTAATTTGAATTTTAAAATTAAAATTATTTAATAAGAGAAATGATTTTCAATATTAAAAGATTTGTTTCTATTTAATAATATATATTTTATAGTTTAATATAATCTAAATTACATTATATATATATTTGTTTAGCACAAGGAAGGTTGAATTTGTCATAAAAAAATGTAGAATTAAAAGGAATCAAAAGGGGTGGACAACATTCGTCTAGGCCTCTTAACATCATTCGGCTTGCTTGGACTTAATATTATTAGATTGTGACATGATGTTTAGCGTTTTTTTAAAAAATAATTTTATGACTAAAGAATCATTTTTATTAATAATATTTCAAATAATACATAAGTAATTCATTTATGAGAAAGTTATTATACAAAAAAGTCAAACACTTTTCTATCTTGCATGCAAGGTTGAATTAATATAATATACAGTATAAATAGGTACTACCCCTTTTTAATCTACCAAAAAGTGTAATTTATTTTGTTAAATGTCACCATTTGTAGATTTTATGATCAATTTTTTTCTAAGTCAGGACCATGCATTTGGTTTTATGGCTAAGTCAATGACCAAGCACCAAGAATTAGGGTTGTCAATAACTTAGTATTGAGCCAAGTGTACTCAAGGTTAACTCACATTAATTGAGTTTCAATCAAGTTTGAGTTTCATTGAGATTGAATGTAATGACTTGATTTGTAATTGATAATATTTGTTTCAACTTATTGGGTCCTATGATTTTAAAATGTGTTAATAGGTGTAATGGGTGTTGATCTATATACCCAATATCTCTCTCATACTTTGTTAATGTGAGATTTGTTTAGGAGTGTCATATACACCCATTTTCGAGACTCAACACACAGCCCAACTCACTATTAATACTATCTGCTTTGGCCTTCAAACCTCATGATTTTAAAACATATCAATAAGAGATAACAAATGTTAACTTATATACCCAACATCTTTTCCCTGCTTTATTGGTATGAGATTTGCCCAAGAGTATCACATTGAGAGTGTCAAACTTGAGATAGATTCAATTAAATTGTTGAGTTCAAACTTGATTGGTTTGTAAAATGAGCTTCAGGCACCTAAATACTCAATTTAGATAAGACTTTATACTTAAAATTGAGTTTAAGCTCCATTGGTTTATTAAATGAGCTTGTGTTTAGTTGAATTTGAATTAAGGGTTTGTCTAATTTGTATCCTTAGAGCAAATGCTAAATATTATTAATTATAGTATTTATAATGAATGTTGCACT